ATGTTGAACAACACTGGTCCCAGTACCGACCCCTGAGGGACCCCACTAGCCACACACCTCCAACCAGATTCTGCCCCATTGGCTACAACTCTCTGACTCCTTCCTTTCAACCAGTTCCTGATCCACCTCACTACCTGACCACCCAACCCACGCAGGACCCCCCACCCTGGCACTAGGGCTCCCCTCCCCAGAGCCCACCTCTCTCGCTGGCGTCGTCCACCAGGATGATCTCGGCCAGCAGGCGGTGGGGCGAGCGGTTGATGACGCTGTAGACGGTGCGGAGCAAAGTGCTCCAGGCCTCGTTGTGGAACACGATGACCACGCTGGTGTTGGGCAGCTCGTCGGGGTAGACCTTGGTCTTGCACCTGCCCCAGAAAACAGAGAGAGAGAGGGGAAAAAAAAACACAGGAGGAAAGAAGGGGTTAAGTCTTTAAGAAAACCTTAAAAAAGCTCCACCCGCGGGACGGGCTGGAAAAGGGGCTCTGAGTCTGTTGAGCAGGACACATTTCAAAGAGGTTACTGAGCTTCTCCAAGCTCCCCAAAGGGGAATTTCAAACCCTGTTTTCTTGCTGAGAAAACACAGCAGAGGATGCAGAGGAACATGCACCACTGTGTTCACAGCTCCCCTGGACTCCAAGAAATCCACACCCGGCATCTCCACATCCCAACACTGCCCACAGACCACTCTGAGATGCACACAGGGCACAGGCAGGTTAACATAAAGCATATCAAGCTGTTACAGCCAGGTCAAGCAAGTATTTTATTGTAAGAAATCCCACATTCTGTGGTTTGAAGTAAACAAGCAACTGAGACCTTCCCATCTTTGGCAGCTTCTCAAAAAGGAGAAAAAAATCCCTTATTTTCTAGAATGCTCTACATGCCCATTCAGTGGAAGGGCTTTTGGAAAATGTAGAAATTAAGGCAAATTGAGCAACAGACACCAAACCCTTCTGATTTGGTGGGAGCTATTTACTTCTTACAAAAAGACAACCCAAAATTCTGCATGTTTGCTCCAGACCTTGGACACATTTCAAAAATACAACCTCACCTACATCAGCTTGTCCACACAGGTCAAGCCACATCACCTGAACACACCTAATATGGATTATTAAAATCATCTGCAGTGGGTTTTTGGGGTTTTTTTTGCTATTTTCACTACTGTATGATTTTGTGGTCCAGGAAAGCCCTTCCAGAAGGAACAGGGGAGTGGGTAGGTATGTTCTTCAGCAGCACACCTACACACTAGGGAATTAAGCTGGGAGTAAAGTGAGAAGAAATTATGTACAGTTTTTAAGGGCATCTTCTTTTTAATACCACAAATCTGAAGCTTCCATTAAAATCTCTACATTGGGGAGTGAGTTATTCATTAGCATTTACATCCCCTATGTTCTCTGACTGACCCAGGCTCAGCACATCACTTTTGTCCCTCCTTCCTTGAACACTCAGCCAGCCCCAGTGCAGAAGTTTCTCAGGAGCAGCCTCCTCCTGACAGAAAACTTCTCTTCAAGGGCCAGGAGAACAGATGAATAAGGTCCCTGAAGAAAAGTCAGCCTGTCCACACAGTTTCTTTTTTAAACATCATCTACTATAACAAAACTCCTTTTAACCTTTTCTTCTGCCTCACTGACATTTAAGGAAAGAGAGATAAAACAACATTGTGACCACAGCTTTCAAAATGCAGGGTGAGGAGAGAATAGAGAAGAATATACAATATCCCTGGTTGCTGAGGCACAGGTGAAAGGTTCATGGTGTACCTATATACACAATGACAGACACCTATCTACACACATCTATGTGTAACATGTGTATTATAATACATATATATCTATATATATAGACACAAAAGTCACTGATAACTGGATCTGAGAGCAGAAAGTCTGATGCTAACAGTGACTCTCTCTTTATAAATCATATACACATCCCCCTCTCAGTCTTGAAATCCACCTGACAAGGAGCACTGAAGCTTGCTGGTAGTCACCCCACCTTCACAACTTCAGCAACCTAATTCATGATACATCCAACCATCAGTTACGATTTAGATTCAGACAAATAAGAGTCCTCTACTAATTATCATCCAGGACACCCTCTGCTTACCCAGGGGTGTCTGAAGGAGGGGGAGCCCAGCAGGGCAGGGTGTCCAAAGAAGGACATTCTGAATGTCTTTGTTTCCAAGGCAGAGATGAAGTTTTCCCCACTCACAGAATTGCCCTTGGAAGGTGCCTTGTGCCAGCCCTAGCATCTCAAAGTCAAGTATCAAAGAGTGACAAAGCAACAGGCTGTCACACAGAGCTCAGCAGTGGTTATTTCCCAGAGCTTAACCTCATACTGCAAAGCAGGTACAAGCTGGAATTTATTCTGCTTGTCCCATATTTTGCAACAGTCATTGTAGTTTAGCAAGGAGAGAGGCAGGAGACACAGAGCCTGAGACACAGCCTGGCAGGAGGGGGGACTGCTCTGCACGGGGAGGCTCCACCAACACACCTTTGGTCTCCAGCAGAAGCAGGAACATGGATTAGTTTGCACTAAACTCACTCCGAGCAACTTCCCCGAGCATCCGATTCGCTTTGGAGGTTATAGCAACCAAGATCAGTAATAACACAACCATGCAGTGGGTGTATAATCACTGCTCTGCTCTTTAAGTCATTCCTGTTGCTGTTCACAGGACGTGCAATGGGAAACGACCACCAGCCCTACAAGTGTGAGCAACCTGTGCCCTGCTCTCCCTCCTCGCTCCAGCCTGCACGTGCCCAGGCTCCCACCCCAGGACCCCTCTTGGCTCACTCTCCTCTCTCAGATGCCCCCTCCAAGCCCCACTCCTGGCCAGTTTTTCTGCACTGTCAGTCCCTCCACAACTGCAGGAACAAACCCATGGCTTTCCCCTGTGGATCAGCTCTTGTATCACCCCCTACATCCAAAAGTACCTTCCCGGGGACTGCCCCACGGGCTGAGCATCCAGGTGGAGCACAGCCCAGGAGAAGGGCAGCACCTCCAGGAGCTGGGCTCTGGAGTGCCTGTGTCCTCCTGGGGGATGCTCAGTATCCAGCCATTCCCACTCTGCAGGTGTCTCAACCCCAAACACCCACCCCATGCTCTGCTCACTGGGAAGTGTCTCTGAGTGCACGAAGGATAAAAACCTTCCACGTCCCTTTACTGAGATGACAACAGTGACTCATGCTGCATCTTCTTTCTCATTCAAAAATACACCAAGAGCTGGAGAAATGCTACAGAACTCATCTGATCCTCACCAGTATCAAAGAAAGGGGCTCCCCCTGTGCACCCCAACACTGTTCCCAATGTGCCCTGATTGTTCAACACACACGGACACCAGGAACGCTGCCCTAGGAACATCACTGCTGCTCACACTCAGCAGCTGCTGCTTTATGAATACACATGAAGGAAATACAGCTGTTTGAATGTGAGAAAAACACATTTTCCAAGGTCAGGAACATGGAAACAAAGCAAGACTCTATGTATTTACCATCCTTCCCAATGGCTGTGTGCAAATAACAGGAGCGTGAAGGGCTGAACTGGGATTTCACCCCTTCCAGAACTGTGCTGAACCTCCCAGGGAAGCAACCCAGGGCAAAAGATCACATATGAAAGCAAAGTATTTGGAGGGGGAAAAAAAAGAGAGAATGTAACTTTTACATGCAATTTATTATGTAGGGTTTTTTATATGATGTATTTGGGAACATGCAGAACCATGTTAAATGTTTGTAGTTTATATGACTTGAGGGATTTTCATGATTATTTAGTCATTACCTTTTATTGCTTTGCTTTAGTGAAAACAGAAAAGATTAACACTCACACAGAAAAGGCTGGTAAGGCAGATCCCTGGTCAGAATCCCCTGAGGGGATCCTGAATTCCAGGCACAGACTGAGGGACTGGGAACACTGCAAGCTGCAGTCTTTGATGCTAGGAAGTGGTGGGACAAGAACAGGGAGAATGCAACATTTCCCCATGTTAAATTAATAAACCCTTGACTTGCCAGGCACTGCATCTGTCTCTGCTTTTAATTCATATTTATGTTCTGGCTAATATTACAAGTGCAACAGTGGCAGCATATTTATTCAGGTATCTAAAATATATATTATATATGGATTCATATAAGCAGGTAGGTACCCATATTTAGTTATCTGTATGTATATGCACATAGGAAACCTGAACTCAGCTCTGTGGGTTAGCAAGGTCTCTTCCCTCACAGGTGGGTGTTTACCACTTACAGAATCACAGAAGGGTTGGAGGGCACCTTAAAGATCATCTCACACCAACCCCCTGCATGGTTAGGATAAGCAGTGCTCTGGAATACACTGTTGCAGTGCTAGATTGCCTGGAATCCAGATTTCCAGCAGCACAGAGTATCCATGACTGTGCAAACACATTAATATGTGCAGTGAGTAGGTAACACCTCAAAGAAACGTAAGCTCCTCTCTCCTCCTTTGCCTCAGTGACACATAATTTGTTTCTGCACTTCTTCTTCTTTTGCTTGAGTTCCCATCTCTTTCCACTCCAAATTCTTGCATTTTAAAATTAGTCCGGTTTAAAAACCTGCTGTGTCATATCACAGCCTGCTGCTGTGTTTCTCTCCAGCTACTGATGGCCTTGAACATTCCCTGCTGCCTCAGGAATTCCCCAGCAACCCCAAACCACCCCTGGGGCCGAGGCAGGGACCGTCCCCTCAGGCACATCCCTCACATCCATGAGCCACATCACAAGGTCAGAGCTGAGGACCTGGAAGTGGATCAAGGCATGAGAAAGCCCCTCTCCTAATTTCCCAGTGATGCACAGAAAACCCCAGACCAAAGAGCAGTGTAAGCAGAAGTGATGAACCGACCAGAGCACAGCGAGGGCTCTGCAAAGCCCCTGCTGAAAGGGACAGCACTGCAGGTGACAAACTGCAAGGGCATCAGAACTCATGAAGTGAACTAAATCAATCAATTCATCTTTTTACAGGTGTGGTTACCTCCCAGTGAACTGTAAACCTTGCTGTTGTTTTCATTTAGTGTCACATCCACACCCCACAGAATCCCAGACTGGTTTGGGTTGGAAGGGACCTTCAAGACCATCTAGATCCAACCCCCTCTGCATGGGCAGGGACACCTCCCACCAGCCCAGGCTGCTCCAAGCCCCATCCAACCTGCCCTTCAACACTTCCAAGAAAGGCAACCAGAATCCAAAGGCAACTAGAGCTGCTGAGGCCTCCTCCAGACCTGCCTGGAGCCAGGGCCTCTGGCCAGCACTTCTACAGACAGCAATATCTGGGGAGTCCTTCCACACCTCAAACCTCCCCATCAGAACTGTCAGTTGTGCCACTGCTCATTTTCAGTTTTGCTTTCTAGAAATCACACCCTGGGGTATAAGATA